AAAAGTGATTGTACTTGTTCCTCATCAACAAATTGAATGCAGTTGGACCTTTGTTAACAAGAAGCTACAACCTGTGAGAACAAGTTGAATTTTTCCCCACCACCATCACACTCACAGATGAACTCAAGTAAGACTTTGTGAATAAACTATTGGAAAGCCACTCAGGATCAGATCTACATCTGGTTTACTGTAAATCATCACAAGATTAAGCAGAACGTCTTTCTTTTCTGGTGCCAAGAGGACAACCTTTGCAGAACAAATTTGTACACAGCTACAATGAATGTAGTCAGCCATCTCTCTCCACTGGATTTTTAGCTCTCCATAGAACAGTCCAGCCAGTGCATTGCTTTAGTTTTGGAATAAATTCAATATGCACATTACAAAAACTCAAGAATTAAACTCATTTGAATTTGATAACATTTAGTTCATGACAATAACTCAATATTTATCTGTCTTTGTGAATCTAACTATAAATCAGTGATAAGAGACTTTTTATTATAATATTGACCATAACAAATGTTACGGCCAATATATTTTAACCTTGATGTTATTAAAATCTGTGGAATCCTCAAGTGAATGATCAACCATTTGTGTCAAAGGCAGATTGATTGACATGTATTGTTGCTCTTGTTGATTCCATTTGAATCTGTATGAAGACTGCGTATTTTGAAACACTGATTCCTAGTAGCCAAAAAAACAGTCTTGAAATTTACTGTTCCTATTTCTAAGTGTTCCAGTCAATTCAAACCATCAATATCACTACACCACATTTAAAAAAAGATTCAGCTCTGGAAGAGAAGATCAACCAGATACATTCCAAACCTTAAGGGATGAGATCAAATGAAAACATAATCCTCAATCCAATTACCTACTAGCCAACATATTAGGTTTGTGGGTCAAATGGCCTCCTCTCATTTGTAGCTATTTAAATGTTTTGAGATCTCTGCAGATTTCAAGATGAGTTTTTGCAGCAAGGCAATGGGCAGTTTTTCTGGTGAACAAATTCAAGTCATTTAGGTATTTTAATGGGCAAGGTCAGCAGAGAACTTGAACTATAAATGTAGAGAATGCAAATAAATGAGTAAGAAGAAGTTAAAGATTAACACAATTTCCCCAACGATTTTCTCAGTTGTTGACACAGTAATGATCTCATTATATTTTTATATACCAAACAAAAATGTGAATAAACTTAACAGTTTTTATCTCTGATGAGCTGAAAGGGACAGCAGAGCTCTGATACACTGCCATGATTCTTACTGCCAGACCAAAACACATCCAGACATTTCTGTGGTTTCAAACCAACTTGCGACCATACTTCGACCATACTCAGTAGCCCCATACAGTGTCATGACTTGTACCTTTTCCCGTAAGTGCCCTGGCATTCCCACGCAGGTTTGCGGGTGCAGGTTTCAACTTGACGTGCAATAAATCTATTAAAGTTGTTCATTGCACAGTCCCTATCTCAGTAAAAATTAAGCATTAACTTTTTTGTCTAAAGTGTGGTAGCAAAGTAATATACCAGGTAGGAAACATAAGGAAACTAAGTTATTTATAATAAATTACTAGCACAAACACTCAATGTTTATGAGTCCTTCCTCTGGTAATGAACATTTTGGAACTTTAAAGAAGAGTGAATAATTTATCTCAAACAGTTCACTCTGTTAGAACTTTTTTTTGCATGATCAAGATCTGATTTATGCACCTGATCACTGAAGAAAAGGACACCAGGCAGGTGAGATTCAATGTTATTTTTATCCTCTGTTCCATAATTTCTTTCACTAAAAAATTAATATGGACAATGAAAATGTTGGACAAAAGTCCTGTCTCAAACAAAAACCTTTTCACATCTTGTTAGTTTACCCTGTAAGGAGAATGGAAAGGATGGGGATGAAGTGGACCCTTTATAATACAGTGTTTTAGGATATTTCGGGATGAAAAACGCTATATACATTAAGTGCATGTTTGTCACACTTGTAAACCCCTCCTCTTAAGGACGCTCTAGCCCTTCCTTGTTTAATACTCATCTCCCGCACCTGCCTCTGGTTCCAGCCCCCCGTGCTATAAAAGCCAGACATTTCTGGCTCTGGAAGATGGACGCCCGGAAGCCTGCCTATCCGCGAGTCCAGGAGCGATGCAACGGCACAGGCTTCATCACGGCATCCTGACCTTCTGAGTCCGGGATTAGGGAGCGTCTCTTTTATGACCCCCCTTTTATTCCCTCCTCCCTCCGCCGGATCCCGCTCCAGCTTTAAACTGTGTCTGTCAGGAAGGATTACCCGGTCTTGGACTTTTGCTACACCCATAGATTTGCCTCGGACTCCCTTGGACTGTTTGCCTCAGACACACCTCCCCCAAGCACCAGCGCACCATGAACACGCCCCCTGTTTTCCTTCCAGCCCCATTGCATGCTTTTTTCCCCGTGTTTTCCTCACTCCTCCCCGGATTGTGTTGTCTGCATAGGGAAAGAACGCTTCGTGACAATATTACTATCATGGCACGTGAAAAATGCTCACCAGCTGAAAAACTGGTGTGTTTTGTCTTGCTTTCTACTTTTCAGTGCAGAGCTAACTTCTGCTTTCCTTTGTGGCACACAGCTGCCAGCACACATACTGACACAGCTTCCCACTTTAACCCCAAAAGGCTACTGTACATCCTCACAGTAAATTGCTGAAACAGATGAAATCATAAAGGTTAAAAATAGTTTTCAGAGTTTCCAGATGAGAGGAGGCCATTCAGCCCAGCTACCCCATTTGGTAGTTAGCAGCCGATAGATCAGAGGATCTCATCCAGCCAAAACTGAGCTTTGTAGAAAATGGCTGGGTAGCACAATCCATTCTCCCATAATCCTTTACATAATGATGTGATTTCTGTTCTGATTTTAATTGCACTTCTGCATAGTTTCAACTTGCATCCTCTTGTTTGTATTTCACTGTTGACTTTGACTGTTTGACTTTCACAGGTTGACTTTGTCAATGCTTTTAAAGTTTTGTAAGTTTTTAGTCTTCTCTCTTCAACATTAAAAAGAACTAAATCTTGTACCTGTCTGTATTCTTTTAAGACCCAGGATGTAAGACGTTGCTGTTCTCTGTACAGATTCCAGAGCAACAATAATAATAATTCCTTACACTTACAGTATATAGTGCTTTTCCGGACACTCCGCTCAAAGCAGTTTACAGGTAATGGGGACTCCCCTCCCCCTCCACTAATGTGCGGCTCCACCTGGATGATGCAACGGTAGCCATAGTGCACCAGAAAGCTCACCACACACCAGCTATCAGTGGGGAGGAGAACAGAGTGATGAAGCCGGTTCATAGGTGGAGATTATTAGGAGGCCATGATTGCTAAAGGCCAATGGGAAATTTGTCCAGGATGCCTGGGAAACACCCCTACTCTTCTCAGAAACCCTGAGACTTTTAATGACCATAGAAGGTCAGTACCTTGGTTTTATGTCTCATCCAAAGGACAGCACCTTTTTAGAGTAGTGTCCCGCTCACTATACTTGGGCATTAGGACCCACGTAGACCACAGGGTGAACACCCCCCTACTGGCCCCACTAACTCTTCTTCCAGCAGCAACCTTAGCTTTCCCAGGAGGTCTACCATCCAGGTACTGGCCAGGCTCACACCTGCTGAGCTTCATTGGGCTGCCAGATGTTCCTTGCAGGGTGATATGGCTAGTGATATTATATTATCAACAATATCTTTTAGTAATGTGGTGATCAATATTGCATTATAAATGAGGTCCTGCTAACACATTATACAATTTGAAAATAATATTCGAATAAATTGTACTGTATGTCATATATCCTAACATTGTTTTTTATTCATTCTTCACAATGTTTAGATGTTATGATGTGTCAAAATTAAAACCTGAAGTCTTTTCAATAAGCAACCTCTTCAAGCTCAGTGTTTCACATTTTATATCTATTGCTTATGTTTTTGCTACAGTACCTGCATGTAATCTACTTTATCTACAGTACTTCAAACTTCATCTGCTAGGTGTTTGAAAAATCTTGAATTTTATATAAATCTTTTTGAATTTAATTTGCGTCGACAGGATTTGCTAGTACACCTAATTTTCATATTATGTTCAAAGTATACTAGCTTCACTAAACTCCCGGTCATTGATATAGCATAGGAAGAGCAGTGGTCCCTGTCATACTTCACTAATCATATCTCCCCAGAAACAGAATTCACCCTTTATCTGTACTCTCTCTTTTCTATACATTATTTAATTCCCAATCAAAAGGCACCTTGTATGCAAACTATCTGAAAATTAGAATAAGGACATGAAAGTAGGAAGTGGTTGTACCAGGATTTAAACTAGACATAAAACCTCCTCATTTATTATAGAACTAGCAGAAAAGCTAAAAAAAATCTGAAAAGCTTTGCAAATCCTTAAAATGAAGAAAACAGACGTGCCGATGTGGCCCAATGACCTTAAGTAGGACAGAAGTAGGACAGATATGAAATAGGTGCTGATGTCTGAACAAAAGCAAAGAGCAGCACTGTACTAAGAAGGAGTGGTTTATGATACAACATAAAACTGAAGTATTGATAAACCAACAGCTGACATCAAACCTATTCCTGATTCTTGTGAATATGGTGAGTTGATGATCTACAAAATGCACATGAATCAATGCTGTGATGTTAGATTCACTGTTAAAATGTATGATCTGTACAAAAACTCCAATTTAGTTGACTTTCTCTTGTACTCCCTACTATCTTTTTTGAAGTCCAGTTAAAGTAGGTTCTAAAATATATGGTGAGAAATGTTTATCACTGAGCACAGCTGTCATAGGGGCCACATGACTTTGATAAATGTGTAATTTACACATTTTCTTTAAGAGCTCAGCACTGTCTTCTGACATAAGAAGGTGGAAGTTCAAGCTCTTAAAAAATAACTTTGACTATTAGAGTACACTCTACTGGTAACAAATTAACTTTTCTAAGACCTGTGCATAATACCCCCTCTCAGATCAAAAAGTCGTAACAAACAAGGACGATTTGGTTCAGTTTTAAGATATGTTTTACAGTAGGGTAATGATAAACAGTAACTATTGATACATTTTTTTCTCCCACACCTGGGGCTTCCAATTGATCCTAATTTGCAAAAAGAGGGAAAACACCTTTGAAATTGTTATATGGCAATTGGAGAGTGCCTAACGTTATTAGTAGTAGTCCTTTTCTTTAAACTGCTTTTATTTCAAGGGTGCACTGTTAATCTTGCCTGCAGCCTTTGTGACAATTTCTACCTTGACTCACTCTGCCTTCAGTCTGACCTGTGTGCAGATGAGATCACTGGTCAATAGTTTCCACATTAGAATCAACTCTCCAGGTTCAAACCTATGGACAACAAGCAAGTCCTGATAGAAACAGGGGTCTTTACTCATCGTCTCTCTGCCAGGCTCCTGGACTCCCCACGTCTTGATGCCGGTGTGTTCCTTGGGGCTCACACTGAGCACCTTTAGGCACATTCCCAGAAAGGCATCATCAATGGGAAAGAGGTCCAGGTCCTCCGAAGCAATGTGCATCTTCATAGCCAGGGGGCCAGCCATGAGGAATCCCCCTCCACTGACATATGGTGGGTAAAATGTCTCATTGAAGATCTCAAGAGGGATGAAGTATTTGCTATTTTTTTCTCTGACAGGAGGGGAGGTGTAGAGGACTGCCCCAATGAGAAGATCTGGCTCATTACCACTACTTTCCAGAAATTCAACGACATTCCCAGTGTGGACAAAAATGTCATCGTCTCCCTTGAAGATGAATGGCACACTGGGGCAGTAGATGGAAAACCACTTGAGGAAGTTGACCTCCTTGAGGGTGAGGTTGTAGAAGCTCTCTTCAAAGTCCCACTGCAGGATGTCCCCATAAAGCCTGTCCTCGTACTCCAGGAGCTTCTGGTGATGGGGGTGCTCTTCCCCTCTGGTGGCTGCCCCCAGCAGGAAAACCAGCTTGATTCTCTTGCCCCTTACCTCCCTCTCCTGGCCCCAGGTCTTGCGGATGGCCTCTCGGCGTCTGTGCTGTGGGATCATGGACTTGACCACTAGAAGCAGGAAGACATCCCCTTCGCACTTCTCCGGATGGTTAAAAATCATTGGGAAGAATCTGCAGTGTCGGTACAGGAGGAACTGCTGGATGTTTTTCCCCAGATCAGCAAACCACGGCATCCTGGTCAGGCTGACATTGGCAGAGCAATGGACATTTATGACATCCCAAGCTTTTACCACCTCATCTTCAGTGACTGACGTATTCCCATCCTTGGCCAAGAAGGAGCTCTGTTTCCGAATGAACACATGGGATTGCTGTTCAGAAAAGCGCGTGTGGCTTTTAAAGACTGCTTTCTGCATAACTGCAAGTGTTACCATGAAGATGGTCACTAGAAGGACTGTATGCAGGCTGCAATAACTCCTCTTGCAGATCCTCCTGAAATGCCTAGAAAGTAAGGAAAGAAAGAGTTGAAAGTGCTGGGGTTGAACTTTCTGTTGACAAACAGAATGCCCAGGTTCTGACAAAATAATACTGGAGGTCCATAGGCACCAGCTTCTTGAAACTATTAACTTTCACTTTAATACATAAGATAATACAAAAGATAAAGCCTTCTTACTGTTAAAAAAAGCTTTGCATTGTGTGCTAATGAAAATATTTACAGGATCTTCAGTGTCCAGTGATACAGAATATAGGGATGCTTTCATTTTCCTTTATACAGATTATTTTGATAGATTCCTCATGGTCTTGAAACTAGGATGAACGATGGAATCCATCAAATCTATTCTCTATAAATGCAGACTCTGCCATTGTAGAAAACTGTATTAAGCCCCTAGGTTTTGTATTATAATCTATTAGTGTCTCATCATTAATGATTAGCCTTGTGCAATGTCACTGCTCTAAATGAGAGCAGCGATCCAAGGCCAAAAGAAGAAGTCAGGTGCAGAGGAGGAAGACAAGCGAGCAAGCTGGAGTGAACAGGCAGACAGGCTGGCATAGTGAACAGACACAGTCCAGAGTCATAGATGGAGATGTCAGTAAGGTTCATAGCCAGGAAAACATGGATGCAAAAACACATAGAGAAGTCAAAGTAAACAAGCCAAGTTTATAACCAGGATCAAAGTCACTGCATTGAATTTGGTAACAGCACATACAGTAATCCATACATACATCATAGAGTGCTGTGATGTAACAGAGCAATAAAAAAACAAGAACCCACACTGAGAAAGCCTCCAGAATTTTAAAACACTGTTTTGTTTGTTTCTCATTTGTTCAGTAAGAACCAGCAGCATCACTGTGTCGTGTGCAGTCCTTCCCAACCTTGCTAGGGACTGGGATAAACCACCTGTTCCACCTCAAAGACATTCAACACACCGGCTGTTTAAACCCCAACAACCAAGGGAAAAAGAAGAGGTAGGTTTCTGAAGAACCATCAATAATAGCAGACCCCAATAATAGTGTTCTCTTTAATATACCTTCACATTTAACTACATACAAGTACCATTTCACCCACTGTATTCCTCTCTAAAAAACACCAGCGCGGAGTCTCATCACAATCCATAGCAGAACAAACAGACTCAAGTGACAAATTATTGACAACAATAATTAATTGTTTAGTCTATAAGCAAGAGTTGTATTAACTTAGTTCCATACTTATATATTCTCTGAAGGGCTGCTGCTGTTATTTTGGATTCTTTGCAATGGAGAATATTTTTAGTATGGCGCCGATCCTCTGTTTCAGCCTTGAAGCAACACTGAGAGGATTGTGCTCATGCTGTTTTAACATTAGCCAAGCTTACAGTAATTATTACTACAGTATATAAATAGGTGAGAGGTTTTACAAAATTCAAAAAAAGTACCAGGCACTGAATCATGTATCACATCTTAAATGTTGTGACATCCTCAGATTAGCATAATAAGTTATTTTGCTTTTTAGAAAAAGTAGGAGCATGAATGGTTAAGGCTTTGAACCAAATACCAGAGGGTTATGGGTAGCTCCTATGAGTAAGGTGCTTGACTTATTGTACCCCAGTGAATGCCCTGCTGTATACATACTGTAGGTCACCTGGTTATCATTGTAAATGAAAACTGTTTTTTGTTTATTTTCATAGGGGACACCTTGATTCAGGGCAATGTGCAAAATATACAATAATATAATTCAGAAAGTAAATCTAGAAAAGAAAAGAAAACATTATAGTAGAAAAAAGTAAAAGAAATACAAGAAAAACATTTGCAGAGTACAAAGAAGAGTGAAAACAATGTCCGCATATCACAAAGATAAGATCTGCAAAACATGCAAAATTCTCATTATACTCACATTTTGATGAAATGAAGAAAACAAGTGTGTCCTTCACAAGAGACAGACACCACTGCTAGATTGTTGCCTGTCCAGTTGCAGATTGGAAACCTTGTTGTGTCATGCTGTGAGGATTGTAATGTGCTATAGACTCTGCAAACACAAAGTACAGTTCTGTTTGCATGACGCAATATTACACCAGGAAGACAGCCAATCACCATATTACCACATAGTTATAAAGACACGCATTTACTGATTCAGACACGAGAATATCTCCAGAGGTGTCTTTGCTATTTTCCACACAGTATACAATTAGTATAGAAAGTGACCCCCCCCCCCAAAAAAAAAAAAACCACACATGTATAGAGAAAGATTGAAGTCCGGGCTCTTTCCTGAGTTACAAAAGAAGAAGTCATAACAGTCACATTTGACAGTTTTCCGATGAATGCAAGATTTAAAGTACAGTATGCAGCATTTCAAGCCATGCAGAGACTTTTGTACAGTATTTAATAATACCAGATGGTCTAAGCCTTCACCACACTCTAGGGGCAGAAGAAGGCCGAATGAGAGACTGCAATTCCTGTTGAACTTCTGTTATAAAATGAAAAAATCAAGTTAACACTGGTGACATTGACTGCGTACGTAGAGGTAGGTACAGTGTCACGATGACGGGACTCATTAATATATCTAGTGTGTCAGAATGTTATAGTTGAAGTGAAAATTGTCAGTTATTGTTCGCTTCAGAATGTTGTAGAAAAATACATCACTATGCAGCAGTAAGTAAAAGAGCTACTGTGAAAGATGGTGTTGTGTCCAAGAAAGGAGACACGATCCCGGTGTGTATGAAGCAGGGATTGCCTTTATTACGTACTGTATGCATATGGGAGCCAAAGCCGATGAAGCACTGACTCAACTTATTGATACAAAAGGACGCTTTTTATACAAAATCACAAACAGAAAACCCACCCAGAACAGTTTCAGTACAATTCCTTGCCAGATACGGTGTAAAGCCAAGGCTGCTAGCCTTGGTACGTGATAAACTGTAAGAATATTCTTGGGTTCCTTTAATTATTGTTTAAGCAGACATTATATACGTCTAGATTTTGTTAATCGTGGCTCAAATGGATATCGGGCGCTCTCAGTTCTGGTCAGGCTGCCCGAAGCTGGCTCTGCCCTCACGTTCCAGACGCGTAGCCAGCTCACACTTAAGTTGCAGTTAGCAATTTCCCATTATTCTAGCAGGATAGTTAGTAAAATGAGGTTAGTAAATTATTTACACAGTAAAAGCAAACTAGTGAAATAATAGAAATAAATTGATTTCTCAATGGTTTCTGTTTGTTTTTTTTCTGGACTTGGACCCTTTTTTAAAATACTTTTTTTGGAAATTAATTCAGAATAATATTTTGCCTTCAGCTAAAGGTCAGAATGTATCTGTCTTTTTAGAGGGTCCTTCTTCTGTGGTTGAAATTGTAGTTTTTTTTCTTTTTATGTAACAAACACTAAATTTACAATACTTTAATTTCCTGTCTTTTACAACTCACACATTGTCAGAGCTTAGACTTTAAGTTATTAGACAATGTTGTGAACAGTTCTTGGAATCAGGCTTCTTCATTTTCCGATATTGCAAAACAAATATTTTCAACAGAAGAAAGCCATTTGTGATTTCAGGTTCACGTTGCACAAAATAAAAATCAAAGTGATCTTCCACAAGTCTGAATGAAAGGGTCATTAGAAATAAAAGTAATCTAACCCAGTTTCTCCCATTATTTACCTCCAAAAGGATCTCATCTCAGATATGTCACGTAAACAATGATGCACATTTGAACACTCACCATGAGACATCTTGTAGCATTTACATGTATTCAAAACTTGATACTCTGCATGTAGCTTGGGTTGAACCTTAAAATACTCCATTGTTTAGAAATGCCCAAGACCTTTAAACTAGACACACGCTCACACATTATGCTATACAAATGATAAACTCTAGATATCCCTCACAGTCAAAATCACAATGTTCTTACATTATAGTTCAGATCGTGTTCAAGGATGGTTGGTAAGGTGACGCCAGAATCTGCTGCAGTCTGGGTGTGTGTTTCTGAGTAGAGTGGGTGGAGAATACACTCTGTTTGCTGTAGAGCTTGAATTACGATTCTGCCTTGCAACTGCAAACATTGTTTTAACATGTTTTTAAACTTAGAACAATGTAATGTTCAACATATGTAGTAGGTCTACAGAAAAAAAATGACTAGTTAAAAGGCAGCTTAATAGGAACATAAAAATTCACTCTAGGCTTGAACAATCTGACTTTTCTAAAGTTTCCCTTTACACCAATTTGTGAAGCAGTTTCTCACCTCTCTGCTTAAAATACTGTGTAGTGGGGTGCTGACGCAGGATACTGAAGAACCTCACCCAGATGGGGCTTCACTGCAGTGGTGGATGAAGAGTGTTGTGCTGTCACAGCTGTAAGTGACTACGGAAGTGTCTCTTAGAAACTACAGTAGATACAATGGGTGACAGCTGGCTAGTTTCAATATCTCCAGCTTCAAAGCAAAGGGATGTTTGGTTGATGTAGGGAGTCCAGATTCAGTGATCAAAGCAATTGTGAATCATAAAATAATCATAACGTTGACTTCTGTAGGGAATTAAAAACTGCCTCTCCTGGCTATTGGGTGCATTTTTAGAATAGGGAGATTGTACATTCATTTGGTGGCATCCAGGTTTATATTGAGAGAGATTTAACAGTAGGTTGTAATCTGAATAGTTTAGAAGGCAGCTTATCTCTTTTTCTGGGGCTTTTCTAGGTGCTATTTAAAAACAATGAAAACTTGATAACAGTCTGGGGTTTTCTGTAAGGTTAGAATGTAAGGCCTTTGGGATGCCTTAATTGTAAATTTGTACACAGGGTAACTTGTGTATGATATGTTTATGTTATGTGTTGTTTAATGTGTGTATTGTACTTTTTAATAAATATTTTGTTTAACCAAGTGTGCCTGAATTATTACTCTTTTCACCAAAGCCGTCCCAAAGAAACAAGAATACACATGCCTCTAACTATACCACTTGGGTATATTCTTGAAATAAATCATTTACAAGTTGGGGGTTATGATTATTTATTTGACATATTGATTAATCCACTGGGGCATTTAGTGATATTCGCTATCTTTGTAACCCTCCAATTGTAACAATATATAGAACACATCAAGATTCTTTGGGATGAAAAGTCTTCTTGGAAACTGTTGTTTTTTTTTCCCCAAACGTCCAATGAATTTGCTATAAAATAGAAGATTCCAAATTCTTAATTTTAATGCCTCTGGAACTGAACATCAAGAGACTGGTAGCCCAGAATCCAATCAAGTCTTAAAGACCCTTTACTGTAAAGCCTAAGTGTTATACATTTGGTAATAATACGATCCAGTAATATTTAAAAAAATGCCACCTTTAAGGGGCAGTATAGAAATCCTTGGCTACTTGGCCTTTCAAATAATACCATCTGTTCCACATGGTTTGGGTGAACATGTATATTCATGTTCCTAGTTTATTTTGTAGTGTAATCTGTAAAAGAGATCATCTGGCAAAATCTGCTTCAATTTTAGCCTGAACTATATGTTCTTTTGGAGTCTCCAGGAAATTGGGAAAGAGATGTCTTAATGCCCAAATTTGTAAAAGCTGAAGAATGGGTCTGAATAGAAATATTAAGGGCAAGGAAAGTTGTACTCGCTGTAGGATACAAAGGTATGTAAAATGATTTTGACCAAGGTATTCTACAGTATATATAGCAAGCCTAACATGATTATCCAACATATCCAGAACATGAGGAACTTAGTTTGGAAGTATCAACAAGAAACAAGATGTGAAACAGTGATAACATAGTGATCCAATCACATTTGGTTCATGAAAACTACTGGAAAACAATAGAGAAAAAATTTATAAGGTGACCTTTGTCCTCTTGAGTGCTTAACACCTTCCCACCAAAACTTTGTGTTGATTTAACGATGTTGTCATGACTTTCATGCTTTTATGTATTTATAGGTGTTTTCATAATGCTGGATATTTTAATGGACCGTAAAGGGAAGTGAGGTTTTCACTGATAAAGTTAAGAAATGAAAGAGAAAAATAATGTTAATATAAACTATTAATTTAGCAATTAAATAATGGTTTAAGAATGAAAAACAGGGTTAAGTTTAAAAGCCTGCTCTGAAATAGTGGTTAGGCTTTGTTATGATGAGCAAATAGTAGGAAACAAAAATAGCCCAAGAAGCAGAAAGAGAAACACATTCAAGTTAAGAAGAGCGCTCATTGAAACTGTGGTTACATCTTGACTGCAGCATACTGAAATAGACCAGACTGATGAAAAAGACATCTACAAAGTCAAACACACCCACATGCTGAAAATAAAGTGGAGGTACTGTAACACAGACACAAACCAGAGGAAATAAAGCATGAAGAGGCCAGGTAAACCTGTGTTTAAGCTTCAAGTATGTAAAATCATAATAAAGATTCTGAGGATTTACAGTAGCTAAAAACAAACAAAAAATGGATGAATTGAGGAATATAGTTAATACAAAAAATGTGATAGGACATTCCTGTTGAAATAATAAAAGCAAATAAACACCAGAGCTCTGCCTTCTGCAGACACAGGAAATAGATCTGGAGATGGTAGGGTATCTGCCTCAACATGGCTAAGCAGCTTGTTCCATATTCCTGCCTGGGCTGTGGGACGCTCAGTGCTGTTCTTGATGTTTTCATGGACTGATCAAGCTTAGCTTTCTCCAGTTCTCCAGATCAGCACCTGATCTGTGGCAGTTCAGTCCTCCAACAATGACTTTAGCATTTTTCTCTCACAGATATACTATAATTGATTATGTAACCATATACTATAATTGATTATGTTCTTATTTCCAGAATGTCCTTACATGTACTGTAATATAGATTCAACATATTTATGATTAATGAGGACATTGGATTAATCCTGAGATTTCTTCTCTTTACAGAAGGTTTCTTTAAATTCATCCCTGAACTGAAGACCTTTATCTTAGAACTGGAACACAAATTAACTTTCTCAGAAGTAGCTCAAGAGGATCAGAACTGAAATTATTATATTTCTAACTCAATTTACAGAGCTTGTCAAAAACATTACTTTCATAGATGTAGACTGAGATTTTAGGCTTAAGCACATTGTTTTCTCAGCAGCTTCTTGACTGGCTCAAAGCACAACAACTTATTTTAAAATGCTGAGCATATTGTGGTCTGTACTATACCATGTTTACGTTAAATTAGACCACTGAATTATAATTTCACTGTTTCTCATTTGCAAAAATTTCACATTCCTAAGCTGTCTATCGAATACTGACATACTTCAGGGCACAGTTTCACGTGTGGAGCTCAAACACTCCCTTCAGAGATTCCTTCCATCCATTTTCTTACCACTTCATCCAATGCAGGGTCTCTGGGGAGCCAGAACCTATTCTTTAAAGCAGGCAAAGAAAGATATATCTCCTGATATGGAAGTTCCACAGAAGAAGAACTGCCCTGTTAGGTCCAGATGGACTTTTTATCATAAAGTGGGACATACAGTATAAATATTACACCTTTGCCGCTCTTCAATATGACTACTTAACCACGCTGTGGAAGGTATTAATGTAACAGCCATAAACACCCATAAATACTTATCATAAAACGGGACAAAGAAATCAATTTCTGTCGCATATCAAAAGACAGGACAAACACCCACCAACATATCATAAAACAGGACAAATCCTCAAAGAGCTGCAGTCAACAAGATAAGCAAAACCACCTCTGTTTCATGTCAGAGGAAAGGGCACAAAATAATTTAATATCAAAGACCAGGACAAACACGAAACAAACTTGTGTCTGATCCCATATAAGAGTTAGGAATCCCCTGCTGTTTATCTGTTCAGTTGTGTAGACCCGACAAATTACTGGACGTATTGACTGTGTTCTGCTCTCCTGATGAAGAATCTCCCACAACAATAAAAATCTAAATAAAGCTATGTTCTGTTTTCAGATTTCTTTGTTGAATTGAAATATTTCAATATGTGCTTAGTTGGAGTCTCTTCTGCTTGAGAGTATTCACCTGTAATGTAAGACACTATGACCAGACATAGGACATAGGACACTATGACCGGTTTCAGGAAGATGTGCTTTGCCTTTGTGTCAGTTTTAGGGTGTCATGTCACTACTACCCAGAATTTTTCAATTGTATATTGTTATCTACTACAGGAAAGCTGGCCACACAAATGTTTACCAAGTATATTACTATGTAATACTGAGCTGTTAGAAAGGCAATAGTGAAATGTGAACCTACTACTTCTTAAACAGCTATGTTTAACAATGTTCTTTAGACCATTGAGATGTAATTTCATGCTCACAGTGCCAATAAATTGCTTTTATACGGTAAGCCTTCTTCCCAATGATTGAAGGCTAAACTGTATATAAAAGTTAAACAATATTATAATGGACATTGTCCTTATGTTATTTGCTGCAGCCTGCACTTTAAAAAGAGGGATATTAAACATTGTACAGGGAAAAGGCAATACTGAGCTGTTAGACGGGCAATGGCAAACTCAAACCTGATCCTATTATTCTTAATAATAATAGAATAATTAGGCCATTATTCTTATGTGTGCGGTTAAGAATTGGACTTTGGATGGCTGAGCTATTATACTGGAAGCTTTCATCTTGCTGAAAGCAGCCCAGGTTGGAAAGTTGTCAAGCAACTTTTTCACATGAAAAAAATGACACTGTCCTCACAGTGCAGCAGCTCACATATTAAAAAGACATAGATTCAGTCTTGCTCTAGCAAGAAAAAATAGAATTGCTACCAAACAGAAAATTAATATACAGATCTTCCAAGTGCTTCCTCAGAAAGTAATGTGTAGCTCAAAGCTCTTTAGGTAACTGTCCGATCATTTAATGCACAATTTACCAGAAAAATTAATTTGAGATTTTAAGTGTTCTTTCTCCTGAATGTTGCAACAATATGCATTCACTAGTGCAAACACAAGGAATGCTTTTAGAAAGTCTAAAAAAAGGGTGGCTGAATAGTTGAAGTCCTTTAATCATCAGTTACAGTACACTGACCATTGATGAGGCATGCAAGTACAGGACTGCCACATCAGCCCTTGAACGGTTTTATTTTACACCCATAAATATCAATGAAGGCAAAAATGAAAATAATGTGAAATGCGATTGAAAGTCACTTTAGAGCTCTATTTTTTAACACTGCTCCAGAGCTGAGCTCCAGATTAATTGTCACCTTTCTATGAAATCACATGTTGATCACCTGCCTGTTTTTATCAGAATACAGTATAAGCGGATGTTTCCATGTAGCAGTGACCCTATGCAGGACCTGTATCCACCAACATCACCGACGGTTTTACAGATACAGACACCCTTCTCCCTGCACACCAGTTTGCTGGAGTCCCCAGAATCACCAGTGCACCCATGATCGCAGTTCTTCCGACTCTAGCAATTACAAGAAGGTATCACCTTCTACTCAAAAAAAAAAAAGTAACACAAGGGGGAAAATGATGCAACAAAAACAAATTGAAACAGCATGGTGCCCTGTAACCAGAGGAAATCTCCCAGAGCTCTCCTTACATGCCACACAGTCCTGTCTCTCTCCAGTAGCACTCTCCTGAATCAGCTCAGACCGATCATCCCGGCACGCTTCCTTCTGCCAAACCGAGCCTGCGTCCAAGCAATACATTCTTACTGACCGCACTCCCCCACCACAGACACAGGGGAGGGCAAGAAAAGAGCACCTGAGCCTTTGGCCTCTACACCTTCTTTTCATATTATATTTATTATATATGTTTTTTTATTACCATCAAATATTCTCCATAACTAAAATACCAACAGCAAATTTACAGTATATGCAAAAAGATATATGCAAAAAAATGATCCAACTTTTCCCCACCCCCTTCAAAAAAGCATGGTTTCTACAGTATATGTACTTTATAATAATACATAACCATTTCATCTGAAAAATGTTGATACATACAGTATATGCATATATGTTTATATATGATTTCATGTTTATATTTCTTGCAGAAGAAGTATCCTTCATACTTCAATATCAATAGATACTGAGGCCAGAGATCTGCGTTGACCAGCTGTGAAGATGTGAAAAATTGCGGTCTCACTACAGGCAGTGCAAATTGTTTAATTCCGTTGGCAGGGTGTTTCTGAGACACCGGATAGAAGGTACCTAGCAAAGTATTCCTTAGTGGTTGTACATGATTTATTATATGACACAAATAACTACACAAGTTTAAAATGTCTAGTTCTTACAGTGTTAATTATCAATTTGTGTAAGCCAAGACAAATGATAAAGAAAAGGTAAATGCATTACATTTACAGTACGTCATACAGAACAGTACTTTTTAGAAACAAAGCTGTATTTTGTGTTGGTTGTAGTTTCAAAAAGCATGTTACTGTATAGGATTTAAAGAAACAAAATTAAAAAATGCACTTTGTTATAGATTTTTATTATTATTGTACTTTATTCCGATTTCTCCAAAAGTGACCACCGATTTACTTTATGCATCTTTCAGTAGAATAGTCCTCCCATGACAATACCGTTCCTTATTCTAGCTAGGTTAAGTAACCCAATAAAGATGTGTAAAAACACAGCACTGCAACTTGCTGGAATCCAGTGCTAATTGCCTGCAAGACATGGCAATGTGACAAATTGTACAGTAAATGGATGCAGCAACCCCCAATCCGTGTTGTAGTAGAAATCATGCACAGTCCTCACCCTTCCTGTATGGATCCGATGAAACCAAGCTGAAATAATAGGAACTTCCAAAGATGGAGAGAATGTAGGAATGTCTGGCTATTTAAAGCTTAAAATGAGACTTGGTGAGATCCTATCTGTTACTTCTCAATGGTGACTAACAAGTTACTATGAATCCTTAGGCACAAAAACGACTACATATGATTCCAACTACAGCTAAAATACAAAAGCTACTGTACAAGGTAGGTATGAAGACTAGGAAATTTGCAAGTGTGGTAAAATCACATTTCGCTAGCGAGACACTTTTTTCTTTGTATGTGAGTGCCCATTCGTTGTAGCTGTATTACAAGCCGAATTTAGAAAAATAAAGTTTTATAAAAAGCTATGAAAGGTGTGTTTTATCTCCAAAGTTGGACATTCCTAAAAAGAACCCCGAAATAGTACAGTGCTGCAACAAGCACATACCCTGAATTCAAAGAAACCCAACCTGCACTATTTTTCAATCATATGCTACACTAGGTCTATCACGGCTGTATGTACTGTACATTAAAACAGCACACTGTGCTCTCTGTATAAAAGTGTACATAAAGGCAAAGCAAATAATTTATAACAAAGACACAAGACAAAGGTTGCGGGAGCATTAACAGACATAATTAAAAAAATAAATCACAGAAAAGATGATAATTCGGTTTCTATTACCAGTGTATTATAGACTTACAGAATTCAAATCTTACATTTGGGTCCACTTCTTTTACAATGTAGGTTTGTTTCTTTCCACTGAGAATTCAGGTGTTTTATGTGTCATTTGTTATGCAAGATAACAAATTACTTTGAAACGCCAACCACAGTGCCTTGAGGTTCTGCTTACATGACCTTAACTAATAAATGCAATGAACTGGAACTTATTAACCTGGGAAAATATAGATCCTATAAGTGGCTACGGATTCCAGATGTCCTAAAGTAATGTCAGTTGAAATCTGCAGAAATAACCAACCATAGTTAAGAAGAGCTCAAATAGCATTTGTGGGATAATCTGAGACTGTTTTCCACCTCCTTCAACATAACTGCTATGTTAATCTGTTTACTGTAATTAATTTTTAATTTTTTAATTTTTTAATTTAAACTCAACATCTTTCCCTATTATATGTAGGCCTAATGTTTAAAATATTTTAAGGAAAAACAGATTGAATATGTTGAGTAGAAAATATTTAAACATTCATAAATCAGGGCTCCAAAAGCTAAATCTAGGTTTTTAAAAATAGCAATTTTAACAGCCCTTAACTGGGGTTTTAATTAAAACATCATAGCTAGCAAAGGAAATGAGAGCAACGTTAATATTATTTATCTGACAAGAGTGCAGGCACACAATTAATTCTACACAGCAATCACAGTTTGGTCTTGTTCCTTCCTTCTCAAAATGCAGACCATTCTTAGGTTATACATTATTTGCAATATATCCAAGTTTTACTTCTGTATCTCAGTCTTCTGCCATGTCCTTTTAGTATAACACAGTGTAAGCTCACAGTATGTATAAGAAATTAGTATAAACTCTGCATGTTTGTTTTAAAAGGTCTAGTTCTGGGAAAACTGCATACAATCAAACCATAATCACTTGAGCCCCCTTATGAAGCCTGATGCGCTGGGAAGAACCATCACCAGAATGTGCAGAAGTCCCCCTGCCCCCCGACTTCATGGGATTCCCTGCCCCCAGGTGTTATCGTGACACGTGGCACTGCCAATGGGACAGAGGGACAATGCGGTTTTTGCTTTAATGCACAGAGCTGCCGCAGCGCGGCGGGTGGCTCTACTTGATGATCTTGTGGAAGGGGTAGAGCTGCAGACAGGAGGTGAAGGCCCGGATGTCGGTGATGACTGTGACGTCTCCCAGGAGCTGTGAAACAGGCACGAAGGTCAGCTGGGACACTTCTCCGTAAGAGGAGCCCCGGCCGTCGGCGGGGGCCTCGCCGCTGGCCGGATCGTGCTCCTCCTCTCCGTGTCCCACCACCTACAAGGGAAAGACAAACGGGTCCATCAGCAAAAGCCAATTTTACACAGGGACTGTGGGACTTTGGTGGACTTGATGGCAAAACCTGGGCCACCAAAGCCAAAAGAAAAGCAGCTCTTTAGTGTAAGCCAACTCAGCCTATGTATTTCCTTTCTACTCATTCCAGTTTTATCTGCAGGTTTTTTTTCCCCAACAATATGTGCAGAGCAGTAGAGAAACACAAAGAACTTCAGTTTCTGCACGTCCATTTCATTTCACTGAACCAAAGTGTCAAGGTTTCTCTGGGGTCTTTTTGCACATGGCGACACTAGAATGGATGGAAGCCAATGGGGATCGAGG